TATGAGGGGGTACCAGGCCCATGGGGTGTGCCAGGCCCATGGGAAGGCGGGGGGGGGTGGTTCAGACCCATATGAAGGGGGTTGCCAGGCCGCGGGGGTGTTGCCAGGCCCATGTCAGAGGGAAATCAGGACCCACCGGGCCCGTGGGGGGAGGTATCAGCCCCCTGTGAGGAGTGCCAGGACTCAGTGCCCCCGGGGGAGATTGCCAGGCCCCACGGGGGTTCCCACCTCACCCGTCTCCGGTAGGGAGCTGCCAGGGTCCACCAGTCCTGTGCCAGGGGGGTCAGACCCTTCAGCCCTGTGTCCGGGGTGCCAGGTGTGGGGCCATCCCCATCCTCACACCAGCCCTGCTCCAAGCCCAGGGTGCCTGGAGCTCCCTGGCAGCCTCCCTGCTTGCCCAGGGCACCAGGCTGTGGGTCCTCATGGTTCATCCATCTTCAAGGAGCATTTCCCCCATCCAGTTTTGGGTTCTGGTCCATCCATCCTGCAGCGCTGTCTCCATCATCCCGTTTTCCTCCTGCAGGCGAAGTACAAGGAGCGAGGGACGGTCCTGGCCGAAGACCAGCTGGCTCAGGTGGGAGCAGCCCCCCTGGCAGAGGGAATAACCTTGGTTTGTGAGCCCAGCTGCAAACCTGGGCTTCATTTCCCCCTCTGCTTCAGTGTCTGGAGCATTACCCTTGAGCAGTGTGGATAATGACAGCACCCTTTAGGCTGCCTTTCCATCAGAGAGCTGTGATGTTTGCTACAGGTCTCTTCTCAGGACCTCAGCAAAGTCATTTTTCTGTAGAACTGTTTCTGCCCCGCGTACATCACCACTGCCCCCCCTTCTGAGGGTTGGAACAGCCCTTTGCCTTGTCTTATCCCCACTGTTTTAGTCTGTGTTCAGTGTTAAAAGTGTACATGTGGAGAATTCTGATTCAATTGAGTGATTTCATCTTGTTTCCTTCCTTTAAAACCACTGGGGCCATGGGCACTGGGTGGGCAGCACGTCAGTGTTTCCTGACTCTGCTCCCTCAGTGCCTGTGGGGGGCTGGTTAACAGAAAAACTGCATTAAATAAGCACTGAGACAGAAACGCTCCTCTGCAATTCTCTTTTCAGATGTCAAAGCAGCTGGACATGTTTAAGACCAACTTAGAAGAGTTTGCCAGCAAACACAAGCAAGAGATCCGTAAAAACCCCGAGTTCCGGGTCCAGTTCCAGGACATGTGTGCCACCATCGGGGTGGATCCTCTGGCATGTGAGGAACAGGCACCAGGGGTTAATGACCAAGGATTCCTCTCGCTGTTCTCATAACAGCTCCTAGTGAAGCTGCTGGAAGTTGTCCTTGAGGAAAGCTGATGGTGTTTTGATTTGTAGGGTTTGTGAATTGGCGTAATGTACCGTTGGGTCCTATTTATTTAAAAGGGTGGGGGAAAACAGGTGGAAAGAACCAAAATGGAGACTTTTCATTGACAGATCTGAGTCCTTGCAGTGAGGTTTGTGAGCAGCCTGATTGGCATCAGTAATTGTTAAGGGTGCTTTTGCCCATGGTCTAATCACTTTCCCCTTTCTCACTTCACAGCCGGTAAAGGATTCTGGTCAGAGATGCTGGGAGTTGGAGACTTTTACTATGAGCTGGGTGTGCAGATCATCGAAGTTTGCCTGGCTCTGAAACACAGGAATGGAGGTGAGGATCCCACCGTGTCGGGAACAGAGCAGGAGGACACCTTTTCCCTGTGGAACAGGAGTGGCATCACTCAGTGTAACGTTCTTTAGTAGATTTCACAAAATATCTGAGATGGCAGTTTTGTCTTCGTTGCCCCCAAAAAGCCTTGTTTGGTTTCTACAATGGTACAGCTGCCCCCCGCTGGCAGTCACCCAGCTTTATTGATTTCTACAGAAATCAACCAACTCTGCCCCGTTTGGGTAAGAAAACCATAATTCGCAGTTTTATGGGGAAGGAGCAGGAATCAGTGACGATCTTGAAGGAGCACGAAACTGCTCAGTTCCTGCTTTGAGCCCAGCAGTAGGATTGTCTCTGAAGGATCACAGCGATATCCAGAAGAGTTGGAATACCAGTGCTAAGTGCCTAATGAACAGACAGTTGATGTTCTTCACTCCAAAAGGGCAATCTGAGACCAGGAATGGGCTACAGCAAAGCCAGCTGAAACTCGAGTCCCGTACATTTGTGGGAGAAGGCAACAGCTGACTGTTGTGGGCCCAGAAGTAACTGGATGCTTATCTCACCCAGGGCGTGATGCTGGGAACAATGAACAGCCGCTGTGGAAGGGCCAGGGGGAGGGAGCCCGTGGCAGAGGCACAAAGGGCCCTTGAGGGCTCTGGCTGGAGGAATCCTGTTGCCCTGTTGCTGTAACGCTTTCCCGTCCCCTTCTGTTGACTCCTAGGTCTGATAACGCTGGAAGAACTTCATCAGCAAGTGCTGAAGGGAAGGGGGAAGTTTGCCCAGGATGTCAGCCAGTGAGTGTCGGCGCGTTACAGGGAAGGGGAATCGAGTGGCATTCGGGGAAGAAAAGGGGGTGACTGGTCTCAGCAGCATTTGAAGGTGCTGCTGTTAATTGGCCCCCCAAATTGGAGTTGCGATCCACAATTAATGACTTCAGCATTTCAGGAAGCAGCTCTGTGCTTTCTCTGGGAGCCCTAAGGCATAAAGGACTGTTGCCTTGAGCAATTAGTCCCCTGCAAATCCAGTTCTACTGCCACATTCTGCTGAAGCTGCTGTGATCTCCTGAGCTGAAGGAAGGGGCTGATACTTGTCAGAAGCAGATTTTGGGGCACAACTCACCAAGATCACTAACTGGGGCTGAATCTTAGTTTAGCACTTGCAGCTCAGGTGCTCCAAGCATGTCCCTAATGCAAGTCCACTTCTGAAGGGGGCACAGATAGGCAAACTAATTTTAAATTGATTTATTAACATTTTTTCCAGCTGTGGGTTTCCTGAAACTGCAGCAAGCTCTAAAGAGCTATTATTGCTATTATTATACATCAGGTCTCCCTCATTAAGGGAGCACAGTGTGCAGTCTGAGAGAGGCTCTACCCTTAAAGCCTTGTGCTGACCTCTTCCTTCCCAGGGATGATCTCCTCCGCGCAATCAAGAAACTGAAGGTCTTGGGGAATGGCTTTGGGATTATCCCCGTTGGTGGGACGTATCTGATCCAGTCTGTACCAGCAGAACTGAACATGGATCACACCGTCGTCCTGCAGCTGGCAGAGGTACGGAGCCAGGGGAGGTTAAAATACAACCACCTTGAAAGAAGCTTATTGCTTCTGTGACAGAGAACTGTGACTAGACCAGGCCAGAGTAAAACTGTCCCCGCTCCCTGAGCTATGGATAATAAAGCACATGGGTTTTTTCCTCTCATTTCAGAAAAAGGGCTACGTAACAGTCAGCGAGATCAGATCCAGCCTGAAGTGGGAGACGGAACGTGCCAAGCAGGTGCTGGTACGTATGAAGGTCCCTGGTGCAGACTGGAGTCAAGTGACACCATTAAAACCTGCATCTTGTTAGGTCCTACATCAACGTGGCTGGGTATTTCTCTTAGTAAAATTCGAATTCTGATATCCTGAGTTCTTCACCCTCCCTTACCCTAGAGTGAATGTGGGGTCAGGCCTCTGCTGGGAACAGCTTCTCAGGAATTTAGTGACATCTCACTCACAGTTTCTGCTCTCTCTGCACAGGAACACTTGCTGAAGGAAGGAATGGCCTGGCTGGATACGCAGGCGGCAGGAGAACCTCAGTACTGGCTGCCTGCTCTCTTTACAGAGCTCTACTCTCAGGAAATCACTCCAGAGGAAGCCAAGGAGGCGATACCTTGACTGCTACGTGTTCTGTGCCTGTACATAATTCTTCTTGTGGGGTTATTTGCATATCACCTGAAACACAGCGACAGTGGACTTGAAATAAAACTTTTCTAAAAAGCGTCTAGCTTGAGAAGTTTAACAGGACTAATTCCTACTTGCTTACCTCTGAATTTTCTCTGTTGTGGGTGGAAATGCCACTTACTGTTACAGACAACTAATAATGACCGTGTCACGGCAAGAGGGAAATTATCTGAGCTGCTACTGCAACTGCCAATGTGACTCCAACTAAAGGATCTGGGAGCAGCAGTGACTCTGAGGAACGTTCTGTGACCAAGGCGTTGTTCCACTAAGGAGCACCACAGTCTAGATTCTGCCAAAACAAACTTTATTGCACAAAAAAAAAAAAAAAAGAAAAAAAAAGAAAATCTTATGTACAATAGTATATAAACAAGGTATCTTAGAGTGACTCTTGTGCATATATTTTCAACTCAATTAGGTCTAAAAATCTGTTGCTAAAACATCTCTGTCTAGAGCAGTCATTTGAGGATTGTCACTTTGAAATGGAAACATTCAGAAATGGTAGGACAGACGACATTAGAGCTATAAAACTAATACTTCTCTTTTACAGCCACATGCGAGTTATGTGAATAGTGTCCACAATAAGGCATTTTCTCGTTTCCTTGTATGGGTGGATGGTAACGCCACATGCACCACAAACAGATTTCAGACCCAGCTCTGCCTGGGGAAGGCAGGGGAGTCACAGCTCTACCCACGACGCTACTGAATGGTGAAAAACAACGTGACATTTACAATGGGATTGAAGAGGTGGTAAAATATCAGGCAGCTGGGGACTCGTGGGGAGACCCCCCCACCTCCCCCAGAGCTGCTTCCGAGGTGAACACC